AGGTCTTCAAAGCGTTTCGTGGAAGTTCGAAAAGCTTTGCTCGCCCACGCAAATTGACAGAAACGCCACGACGTTCGTTTGCTCGCGGTACTTTGAACTGGAATAAAGAAGCTTTATTTAAATTTCGTTCCCGCGAGAAGGATAAATGCGAATGAGCTTTAGCGTATTCTTTTCAGTTTCCTGATAAAGGAAAAAAAGAAGAAGGGAGAACAATTTAGCGATTGCTCCATGTCGACATAGAATCAAAGCGATAAAAGAAATTATTGAAATCAATAACATCAACTACGGTCGATAGAATATTCATAATCGACCATTCCCACGATTAAGAGATCACGTCACGTACGTTTCGCATTGCAAGCATTGATACGAATTTTTATTAAGGCGCGAGACGATAAAAATGTAATGCAATTATTGAACGAACGAACGTTTTCAGGTTTTCTGTTTTTTTTTTTTTTTTTTTTTCACTCTTACACACACCCACTGAAGTTACGAGTGCGCGAAAAATAATCTTGGACTTCTGGCTTGCACATGGATGCACATACGCGACCGTCAAAATGATAACGCCTTTACCGCAAACGCTTTTCACTGGGAGTTTCACCCGGAAGAAGGACTTCCAATCTGACCCCAAGAAGTGCACAACACTTTCGTTCGCGTGAGTACGTGGTGCCGTTGGAGGAAGTAAGAGGAAGTCCTGTGCAGCATGTATAAAGTTCTATTTTTTTCGTTTTATTATTCTGCCACACAACTCACAGGCCATTTGAAAAAGTATTACGTCTACAGCGGTGGTGAGCTCAAAGCGGACAATAAGGTCTTACGTCTCTCTGCATCTTCGAAATACATATAGATGTGACACAAAAACTAGTGCACTCTTATTTCCGCAAGTGAAAGTGCCCACAGCTAAAGCGAAATACGGCTGTCAGGGAAATGTGCACGGGACAAAAATTAATTATAAGCAGATTTTTGTTCCACAGGCCCGTTGCCACTACACTTCATCATTAACGTCGCGATGGATTCCGTCAGGTTTGAAAAAGCAAAATAAAGAGCACAATGACGAAGGTGTTGGTCGTGAACTAAATCGTAAGATCTTCCTGAAAGTGGATGCGCGTCTGGGAAATTGGACCCCCATACCTCGAAAATTCTGGTTCCGTTGTTTGTTCTAGGTTGTTCTAAGTTTGTTCTATAATGTTCCAGAAAAACTAGTTTCTCAATTGAAATTTGCAGCGGTGAGGCGGGAAACACAGTTTTCTACAGGAACCCCCCCCCCCCATTTATGGAAAAGCAAACGTTTTTTAGTAGTTCCAAGTTGTTCTAGTTGTTCTAAATATTGTTCCAAAGTATTAGTACCGCTAAGTGAAGAATACTCGAATGGGATCAAAAAAACGTTTTTTACATATAAAATCGTTCTACATTGTATAGTTCCGATTTCGAATCTTGTTCTACATTGTTCTAAGTTAGTTGCTATTGTCCGATCGCTATACAAATCTAGAACAATCATCGATAGACCCAGAACCTAGGAAAATGTAGAAAAACCTAGAAAAACATAAAACAACCTAGAAAATCCTAGAACAAGCTGGAACAACTTGGAATAACCTGGAAATCATTAGAAATGGTACTATACAACCACATGCTATTCTCAGAGCATTCGTCCTCCTCCGCTTTTCCAGTGTTTCCCTGGTTTTACGTGACTGTCCTACCTGATCAACCTGGAACAACTTGGAGCAACCTACGAAAACCCACGAAAACCTACGAAAACCTAGGAAAACCTAAAAAAACGTAGAAGAACCTAGAACAAGCAGGAACAACCTGGAATAACCTGGAAATCGTTCGAAACGGTCCTATATCCACATGCTATTCTGATCGTCCTGGAACAACCTGGAGCAACCTAGTAAAACCTACGAAAACCTACGAAAACCTACGTAAACCTACGAAAACCTACGTTAATCTACGTTAACCTACGAAAACCTACGAAAACCTACGTTAACCTACGAAAACCTACGAAAACCTAGGGAAACCTAGGGAAACCTAAAAAAAACGTAGGAGAACCTAGAACAAGCTGGAACAACCTGAAATAACCTGGAAAACGTTCGAAATGGTCCTATATCCACATGCTATTCTGAGAGCGTTCGTCCTCCTCCCTCAGCTTTTCCAGTGTTTCCCTGGTTTTATGTGACTGTCCTATCCGATCGTGGGAGGTCGTGGAACAACGTGGAACAATCTAGAAAAACCTAGAACAATCTAGAACTTGCTGGAATAACCTGGAAATCGTTCGAAATGATCCTATATCCACATGCTATTCTCAGAGCGTTCGTCCTCCTCAGCATTTCCAGTGTTTCCCTGGTTTTACGTGTCTGTCCTACCTGATCGTCCTGGAACAACCTGGAGCAACCTAGTAAAACCTACGAAAACCTACGAAAACCTACGTAAACCTACGAAAACCTACGTTAACCTACGAAAACCTACGAAAACCTTAAAAAAACATAGGAGAACTTAAAACAAACAGGAACAACCTGGAATAACCTGGAAATCGTTCGAAATGTTCCTATATCCACATACTATTCTCAGTGCGTTCGTCCTCCTCAGCTTGTCCAGTATTTCCCTGGTTTTACTTGTCTGTCCTACCTGATCAACCTGGAACAACCCAGAAAAGCCAAGAACAACCTGGAACAATCTAGAACAAGCTGGAACAACAAAAAAACTTTGATTTTTCGTAAATGGGGGGTTTCGGTAAGTAACTGTTTATTGCGCATCACCGCTACAAATTTCAATTGAGAAACTTGTTTTTCTGGAACTATATAGAACAAACGCAGAACAACTCAGAACAAACAACGAAATCGGAATTTTCGAATTATGGGGGGCTAACTTCCCGGACCCAGTGGATGCGCCTGCAAAAAATTCACGGTTCTTCGGTACGGACTCGCCTAGAGCTCGTTCTACCGAAAGCAGCTTGCAGCTTGTCGCACTAATTATGCATTTCCCAGGCTTTTATAACTGAGCTACTGAAACTTTTTCTATTCGCTGAAGTTCCGGAGTGTGTAACTTTCCGGAAATTCTTCTTAGGTAAACTTAGGTAAACGATGAAAAGCATTAGTGAATTGTGCAACGAGGAGAATGAAAATTTTACATTGAAATTAAGAAATTTCTATTGATATTACAAGTTTACTATTATCACACGAAAAAAAAAGCAGAATTACATAGCACGGTACTCGGTATATGATGTGTGATAACGCGATGCATCAAGAACGCAAAAAGAAAAAGTGACACTCATAAATCGATACCGTTGAGATATGCGAAATGTATAACCAAAAAAAAAAAATAACAAAAATATATTCCAACAGTATATCTTCCTATTGGAAGAAAATGTTTTATTATCAACTCGATACGGTAACCCATTCGCGCATGGCGAAAACAAATTGCCTCTCCACGCTCATCGACACCGCAGATCGACCCTTTATCTTTTATCGAGAAAAAATCAATGCCCCATTCCCATTCGCCCAAAATCTTTAGCGGTTGAAGGGTCATCTAATATTTTAGGGACTTTCGTCAGTGGAGACGAGTGAGATTCCTTGTTATTCAATTTGTGAGAGAGAAAAAGGCTCGGAAAGGTGGTCCTGAACGTTGAATTCTCGCTCATATATTTGTCCTACTCTGCTCTTTCGTTTTTCTCTCAAGCTTTTTTAATATCTTCCTTGTCAGAAAAACTTCCTGAAGAAGTAGCCCTCCCGAGGGAGAGCAAAGTAAAGTACTGCCTTGGATATACCTAGGAAACGAATGAACGGCCAAACGACTGAAAGAACGTTACATGTACACTGGACGTATATACTATAGCAAATGAAACACTCTAGAATCTAGATTGCAGGCTAGTCCTTGTCCCACTTGACTCGAGTTCACCTACTGGCTGAACATGGTTCGCCTGCACTTAGGTAGTCGCTATACAGTCTCATGTACGCTACTAGTCAATGCCTTCCAATATGGGCCGATAACTTGGTGGAATTGCCATACGTACCAATTAAGTGTATTAATGAGGATTCACAATAATTACTACCCGGGTAAAAATTTGAAGGCGTACAACAGATTGATGACACATTTAAGGCGAACAACGGGCGAACAACGGGCTAACAACAGTCCCGTTTGAAAAAATAGGAGGCGTACAACAGGCTTAAAACAGCTCGATTTTGACCGGTTGTCAACCTGTTGTACGCCTTCAAATTTTTATCCTGGTAGATGCGCGGTGGTGTATTAGCATAATTGGACAATCGTACACTTGTGCTTTGACGCGATAAAGACAGAGGGGCGTGTGATTGCGATTTCAAGTAACGGCAAAAGAAAAGTATAAACGTCGAAAAACTGTACGCATACAACTTACGTAGATTACTATTAAAATTATTTCCCAGGAGGTTGCGGAAGAGATTGACTCGCTACTGGAATACGGTTAAACACGCACCCCGATGGATTTGAATTTTGTATAACGAATGCCTTCAGTTCACGAACGAAACATTTAAATTATACTTCGGTGTTGGCTTCTCCCCTCTCATTTCCATTTTAAACCATTGGATCTCTACAGTGCTTTACGTATCTTCGAGTCAGCTTCTCTGAATGGACCCCACTTTTTTGCTCCATGTCATTAACCCTATTGTTTTATTATACGTGACAAACGAGTATCGCGACATACGTGGAATTATGAAAAATATACATCGAGATACGGGAAACCGTTGTTGTGTTCAAGTTGTAGAAAATGATAGCAGTTATTTTTGGTGGCAAGATTGCGAGCGTTGAATCGTGAGTGAAAAAAAGAAAAAATAAAGGAAAAGTGCCGAAACTTTCCCTCCGTCGTAACTTCGGAACCGTTCGTGATAAGTAAATCATTCGTACGTGAAAGCTAAGAGTTTTTTTTCCTTTTCAATAAATATGACAGATATAACTATAATGGCCACGTATCAAAGCGAATATTGAATCCATTGAGTCGTAACGTAGTAAAATACAAAAGATATAAAGTCCCTTACCTGGTATATTGCTGCAGGGTGTGGGGGATGGGCTATGGAGCTATTAGCCAGCCGTGCTTATGGAGCGCACAGGCGCAACCTCCATCCCCGAACTTCCCCAGCTTTGTCTCCGCATTCTGTAAACAAAGAGAAACAAGCAATGAAATAACATTTAATTTTCCTGCAGTTTCACACTTACACAGGTCTCACATCTAATCAGGTACTGCATTCGATACGTGCGGCACGTGATACCAATAATCAAACGTAATCAGGGAAGTACGTCATCCGGATTGTAGAATATAAAAAAAAAGATAACCTAACCCAAGGAATAAAGAAATTTCGAATTTCCGTGGTATTGACAAACAAGAAAGTAATTCCCAGGGTGAAATTCATCCAATATCGTTACTGATAAGCTTTGTCGCTTGCATGCAAAGACTAAAGAGATTCGCAATCGTGGCGCGAGAGATGTGCCGAGGATAGAAAAGTATATCGGGCACAGTAGAAAATAGGAAGGGCTGTTTGTGCTGGAGGACTAGCGCCATTTTCGCATCAGTATGCGAGCCGCGTGTCTGATTAAACGTCGATATGCGCTCTGCTCTCACGGACCCATCCGAAGCCGAACTCACACAGGGCTTCGAATAGCTGCAGCACACGGAGGAAAGTTTATATTGGATTTCATATTTAATGCAATACATCGTACCGCACTGGCTCGAGATAAATTATTTATATCGAAGAACTCGCGTTCGCCTATCGCAGGAAAGGATGGGACGAGTTGAGAGAAAGGATTGTAGAAGAATAAAGTCACTAGGGACTTGTCGAATCTTCGGGGGAAAAAAAAAACAAGTACGATGTCTTCGATCTGTCCCAACGATAATAACATTCTCAATGACTTTTGGATTCGGCCTATATACACCAAAGACGATATCGGTAATTCCGGTCGCGTCATGTAACCGATGAGAAAAATACGAATGAATAATATTGCAATGATCGACTAGAAATTTACAATGCATAGATGACGCTTCGTTACGATACGATGTATGAAATAAGATAAGGGAGAGTTAAATCCAGCGGGGTAGAAATTACCAACAGTGAGTGAAACGCGTTATTAATGGCTACGTAAACGCAGCCCCATATTAAGCAGCATCCTTCAGCGGGTTCTGATTATATTCCTAGCACGTCCTTCTCTTCCTCCTCGTTTCTCGTAAAGCACGAAACAGCACCTTGAAGCAGCAATGGGACCGGGTTGGTACGAATGTAGGTAGATAGGTAAGTATAGATATGCAACTTCCGAAGCACGAAATGGTCACGACAAGGAACGTACATATTTGCACATACGGTAAAATAGCGAAGTCGACTAGCCGCGCTTCGTTCCGTTTGGAATTTTCGTGTTACACGTGGCGAATCGCAAGCGAATAACTGCGTCGAAATACACGGAACAACAGAGGCACGTGAATTCGTTGAGTGGCGGATGCGAGTCGAATCGACAATTTACCGGTTGACATCAGCCGGAAAGTCAAAGCAACACAGACGATATATCTGAAACCGCATGCGGGAGATGGTCGAAGTTGTATACAGCGAGGAGTCCTTCGATTTCCCATAAGTTAGTATAGATATATATCTATACACAGAAGGAACTTGTATACTTTCTTTAGAAAAGTATCCCGTAGTTCTTCGTTAAGCCGAATGGGAGGATGGTCCCGCGAGAATAAGGATCCAGCATCCCGTTGTGCCGGAACGTATTTCTCTTTGGGACTCGTGCGGCGACAAACAAAAACCTATTATACACATTTTTCGTCCGCGACGCTTCAAGGCGCACGGCCCTTAAACGGTCACCGGGGATGTGATTTATTTGGCTAATTATCCATGCTTCTCGTTCTCGAGTCTTCTTTCCATTTAAATATATGCAAGCTCGTCCTATCGTGGACCACACGAACTACCAACTGTATATACTCTCGGTATACACTCTCCGAGAGAAGCCACCGGTGGTCAGTGGCTGCCCTCAGCATCGGCAGACCAGCGACAAACAGTGTAAAATACTTCAGAGCCAAGTCAATCCACACCTGATTACGCCCCTGAATACCTCTAAGAGATTAATGATTCCACTTGCCGAAGGTTTTATGTGACTTGAATATATACGACTTGAACCAAGTGATTCAACCGCCTCGTGGAAGTTCGGAAGATCGAGAGGGATAGCTAGAAGTAGTACGTAGCGCATAATATATAGTACAGTAGATGTAACCCGTGCTGTGCGGAACCTGGAGAGGAAGATTTAAAAGGATAAAGTTTGATGTTCGTGAGAGTATGAGATTCTTTAATTACGCAAAAACAAAGTTCACAACCCGATCGAATTGGCTTCACGGTGTATTCAATGGAGCTGAGGAGAATCCGATTTTCAGAAGACTCGATGGCCTCTAGAAATCCAGCAAGTTCATCCTGAGAATATTTAAGAGAGGCAGAAGCTGTGCCAATTTCCGTGACGCCATGGAACAATCGACTAAATACTGGAGGCGCGGAAATCCTTGGCCGTGTTGAATACTATGACCGTTTCGTAATCGGCATTGGCGTTATAATCCGCGTAACCTGATGTGGAAGTGATTCGACCTAGGTAACACAGGTTGCTGCAGGAGAAGGACAAAAGGATAACACATGCCAGTGACGTTGAACAGACCGAGATATTACGCGAGTTAGAATTAACCGTGATACTTCTCTATCTGGATTATATGACTCTACTGTACCCTAAGGTTATTCAGAATTATGATAGCAGCCTGAAGTTAACGAGTTAGGTTCGTTGCTACGGTATAATCACGTTCAAGTGGTAGGTCGATCCTGATTGACTATATATTCCCACTGGCATGCCCTCTGTGCAGAGTGCCATACCTGAAGCCCTGAGAAAGTTTGACTTTCAGATAACCATAAGAGCATTTGAAATTTCATCGATATTGAGTTCTCGAGCTTCCATGACTCCGTAATTAGTCTGCTGATATTGAGATAGACGCCATACACGAGTAACCCGCCATAGAAATGTTAGATATGAATCCTCTCGTGTAAAATGGAATGGAGCGAAAGTTCGAAAAGGTCTCGTTATGCGCTCCGTAGGAAGATGTTATTTCCAAAGTGAAATTCAGTGCGGTGGCCGCGCTTCCCTATAGATTTCAGTTTGTCCCCCGTCCATAGAGAAACGAGAGAATCATGTAGGTAAGGATGCAGAAGAGGAGGAAGGAAGAAAATAAGCAAGAATAAGGGGACGCCAGAAATAGGTCAGTCCAGAGACGAGGTCAGGTCTCAGGAACAGTAGGGAAAGAGAACGCAAACGGTCATGGCTCTTTGTACTGTCTCCCTGTATGCGTCTATAGTCTTCTACGACACTCCTCTCGCTGATCCTATTTTACTGTCCTTCTACCACCCACCACTAATTACCCGACGACAGGGAATAGTTCAAGCGCTACGAGTGAAGTTGACTGTGAGCTTTAAAAGAACTACAGAGAGCACAGAGGTAGAAATGGGTATAACGAACCGTAACCGTGAGCTTCGACTCGATAGATCAGTACTAATTGTAGGATGGATTTGCCAGGGGACGGTACAGCGCTCGAGGGATTCTGGCTGGCTTTAAAGGCCCGTATATATTTCTCTCTCTTTCTCTCCGTCTCTCTCGTACCAACGGTGAGATATACATGAAACACCTACACGTGTCTACCATTTCGTGACCTATCCCAACGACTAGTTTTTACGTCTCGCCATTACGACTCACCCCGTGGGCGTCATGTGCGATACACGTAACGTATTTACACTTGAGAATGCACGTACCCTGACCTCCACCATATATAAGCTCATATACTAGTCATCTACGTCTACCTGGTACGTACTGGTATATCCACGGATATATCCCTAGCATGTATGCTAGGGACGTCTCGAGTTTCTTCGCTGACACGACGCCTTGGTGAATCTCAGCACGACCTTGATGTCGGCTGAACTTTCCTTTCTTTTTCTTTTTTTCTCTCTCACTAACTTCACGGTGTCTCGTCGACAGGTCGATTCAAAGAGCACGTACCGCATTCTCATTGATCGTGAACCAGCCGTCTTGCAATTTACTTCGTTCATGCAAACTCTTCGTAAAGTGGGTAACATCGATTTTTTCGCTAATGACACTACGCAGTTAACACCAATGGTTATGCACTAGGCAGTATGCGTGCTTGAAAAAAAAAGGGTACGTAAAACAGAAAGATAGTCCATGACTTAGTGGAGTCAAACCGCCTCAAGGTCCCGCTGATCATTGCCACCTGATTATCCTTGAAATTACACGACGTAACTAACGAGTCACTGGCAAGAGCAATGGGTGGGAAGAAATCGGCACCGAAAGATTAAACACTCGTTACCGTCTTACTGGAATCCACTGACACTCACCCTCCTCGTTTACCCAGATCCGAATTTCCTCAGGTTTCCAGTTACACGGGAATGAAAGCCCATGCATCTTAATATCGCGATATCTTAATCCTAAGCAAATCATGAAATTCGAATTTACCATCAAACTATTATATTTTCTCATTCCTTCTTCCCCCGTCGTAAATTACATCACATCGCACCGAATATCACGAAGCACGCAATAACGTTAATATCGGTTCGTTCTCCGGTTACAGGACAAAGGGAATCAACCGTTTGCAATTACAAGTACAATATAAACACCTCTCATAGATATCAAAGGGTCCACCCGTGTTTTGCCCACGTACAGTTTCCCCAATAACACTGCAAAGACCTTCGACCGGCTTTTCCTTTGGCTGCTCATAGAACCCCCATATAAATACGATAATTGCATCATAAACGTTAACCTCCGCGTTTCGCTCGATAACCCAACCATATACCTGCAGTAGCAGCTACTTAGGTTTTTATCGGCACGTCGGTGCTCTACGAGCTGTGCGCTGCTTGAGGAGTATTTATTGCTCGATAGGCGCATTAACTGCAAGTCGATACGAGAGAACTCCGTCCTAGAGTGCTATTTCGAAACGGACTAATTTACGCGGTTCGATAAGATCGAAAGGAGTTTGGTATATGTTTCTTTATTTTACGTTGCGAGATAAATAAAGAGAGAGAAGATTTTTCAACACGAAGATTCGATTGAGAATAACCATATACCGTTATATAG